ATCTATCTATCTATCTATCTATCTATCTATCTATCTATCTATCTATCATCTATCTATCTATCTACACACACACACACACACTCTGCCTGGAGCACCCATTATAAAAGCACAAGTAAATCAAAGCAGGGTTTCCATGTCCTGGTTGCCAATTTAATTATTTTCACTTTCCTTTGAAAGCGTGTGTACTTCATGTTTTTACCCAATCAAGCTCTCCGTTTGATTTCTCTTTTTGTGTGAGTTTATAACAATTTTATTAATTTATGATATAATATACAGAAAAAAAATTTACAAAAGCCAAAAGGAGAAATAGGGAAGGGAAGGGGGAAGGGGAAAGTGTGGGGGGGAAAGGGGAAAAAAGAAAGAAAAGGCATTTTCTGACTCCCTTTGGTGCAGTAGAATAGGGCCACAACATCAAACCACAACTTTTTAGTTTTACGTAGTAATATAAAGAAGCCATTTCCGTAACACCCTATCTATCTAAAGTTTCGTGTTTTTTTTTCCTATCTCAAGCACAAAGTCCAGAAGCCATTTCCAGGTAGAAACAAAGATATTTGTTTTGTTTTTTTCCTTGAGCAAAGCTTTCCATTTGATTTTGATACACTGGAACATGTTGAGTTTAAACACTTGTGTGTGTGTGTGTGTGTGTGTGTGTGTGTGTGTGTGAGAGAGAGAGAGAGAGAGAGAGAGAGAGAGCATGATTTAATCTTTTATTTTTTTTGAGCTAATGCATATACATAATGAAACCAGGTTAACTCGAGCTGATTTCAGTGGGTCCCAATAAAGCATTTAAAGGATTTATTTAATGGGGGGCGGGGGGGGGGGGGGTGCCAGCTGCTAAGTCTTTTTTAAAAAAACATCCCATTTATTAAAGCTTGGGAAATCAAATAACGTGTCATGCCCTGACACCTTGTGGCCATAAGATGATATAGCAAGAGGAAAGAGTCTGGAATTGTTTCGCCGTATCTAGAATTTTTCCAAGAAAAATAATTGGTTTTTTTCCTTGACCACAGCAGTTGTCTCTCTTTAATTCTGTAATTTGAAAGTCCAAACTTTATATAAATAGTCAACTTTTGAACTGCTCTTCGCAACTCTGCATTTCCTTGTCTTGAAGGCTTAAAAAATGCACAGGAAGTCCTTGACTTAAGACGATTTATTCAGCAAGCGTTCAAAGCAGTGGTGGTATTCAATTTCTTTCACTACCGGTTCTGTGGGCGTGGCTTGGAGGGCATGGTGTGGTTTGTTGGGTGTGGTAGGGGAAGATTACTGCAAAATCCCCATTCCCTCCCCACCCCACTAACCTGCTTTCCAGCTCTGTTCTCCAGTGCAGGGCAACCAAAGAAGACCCAGCCGATCAGCTGGGACTCAATGGGAGGCAGAGAAGAGATGGGGTTGGTGGGGCCAGTCAGAGGTGGGATTTGCCGGTTCTCCAAACTACTCAAAATTTTTGCTTCCGGTTCTCCAGAACCTGTCAGAACTGGCTGAATACCATCTCTGGTTCAAAGTTTCAAGTCCCCAAGGTGCTTTTTCAAGAGGCAACTGGACTTTCTGTTTTTTTTTTCCTTTGAAGACATTTCGCTTCTCATCCAAGAAGCTTCCCCACCATCCAGTCAGAGCTGAAGAAGCTTCTCGGATAAGAAGTGAAACATCTTCAAAGAGAAACCAGAAAAAACCAGTTGCTCTTGAAAAAGCATCTTTGGGACAACTATGAATGATGGAGAATCTCCATAGACTTGGTTGCTTTTCTTGAAAAGATGTCATTTCTCACTTCTTCTTCAACTCATTTCTTCAAGTTCTGGGTTAGGGTTGAACGGAAGAAGCTTCTTGATTGAGAAGTGAACCGTCTTCAAAAGAAAAAAACCAGAAAGTCCAGTTGTGTCTTGAAAAAAAACATCTTTGGGACAACTATGACCTGGAAGACTGAGAATCTCCATAGATACTGTACTGAAGCATCCCTATTGCCGTGCAATTAATTGTGCAAATAACGTTTTTAAGGTGTTTTTTTTTTAACTCGCCTGATTCCTTTCTCCCTCCCCATCTCTCAGGCAAATACAGATAGCCCCTCGACTTACAACAGTTCATTTAGTGACCGTTCAAAGTTACAACGGCCCTGAAAAAAGTGACTTAGGACCATTTTCCATACTTATGACTGTTGTGGCCTCCCCATGGTGACATGATTTTACATTTGGATGCTTGGCAAGTGATTCCTATTTATGATGGTCACCGTGTCCCCCGGGATCCTGTGATTTCCCCCATTTGCAGCCATCTGGCAAGCAAAGTCAGTGGGGAATCCAGATTCGGACCACGTTACGAATTTGTGGCAGGGATTCGCTTAACCAAGGTGTCAAGAAACGCCGTTAAAATGCACACTTGAACTGATGATACTGTTCTGTGTTTTTTGTTGCTGTTAGTTTTCAAGAAATGTTTGTTCTCCTCCTGCTTGAGCCGGGGGCTGGACTAGAAGACCTCCAAGGTCCCTTCCAGCTCTATTCTATCTCTTCTATACTGTTTATTTACGTTTTCGTTCCTCCAGGCTTAAAAGAGGCAGGCGCAATGCCAGCCGCGGCCAGAGGGGGCGGCCGCGAGCAGCACGCACGCGCGGCTCGCGTCGTTTGCCCCTCGCCGCTCGCCGTAGCGCGGCCTGCAAACGCGGACGCGACGCGGCGAGCCTTGCTTGCGCGAGAGACAGAAGAGACGAACCCGAAGCCTCCGGCCATGGCGTCGTCCTCAGGCAGCGCCATCCAAATCCCGAGCCGCCTGCCGCTGCTGCTGACCCCCGAAGCCGTGCTGCTGCCGGGCTCCACCATGCGCGCCAGCGTGGACTCCCCGCGGAACATGCAGCTGGTGCGGAGCCGGCTGCTGAAGGGCACGTCGCTCAAGAGCACCATCCTCGGCGTCATTCCTGACACGAAGGACCCGCTCAGCGACCTCGACGCTCTCCCGCCGCTCCACAGGTCCGGCATCCGGCCTTGCCCGCCGTGGTCTCTATGGCAACAGGCGCCCTCCCCCAACCTCCAGCTCCCCCGCTTGCCCTTCCCAACATGGCGGTCGTGACGTCAGGAAGGCCACGCCCCCTCGGTCCCCTCCTCACGCCACCTGTCTTAATCCCGAGACCTTCCCTTGCGTTGCCATGGTCACCGTCCGGCCTGTTGCCACGGTGCTACCCTTCCTCTTTTCCTCCGGCCGCCCATCGCACCTAGGTTCACCGTTGCCATGGCGACTGCAGCCCCCCTCCTTCCTCTCTCTCCTTTCTGGTTAAGGATGCTCTTTGCCCCTTGACTAATTGGAGCTAATTATTACCTTATCAGAGTTGAAACATTGAGCTTTATTGCTGATTTAATCCATTTTCATAGCTGTCCATATCCTGGTATAGATTTTGGATTATCCATTTTTCTATTGGCCCGCAAAAGGGGTTCAAGGTTGCAATAATAATCATCATCATCGTCATCATCATAGGAACAGCTTGCCTTTGGAAGTTGTGGGAGCTTCATCACTTGAGACTTTCAAGAAGAAATTGGACTGCCATTTGTCAGAAAAGGTGTAGAGTCTCCTGCTTGGGCGGGGGGGGGTTGGACTAGATGACCTACAAGGTCCCTTCCAACTCTGTTCGTCTGTAATCTGTAATAATAGCCTTTATGGTCATTGTACATCATGCATACAACGAAATTGGTTGGTCTTTGTGTATCAACAGCAACAGTCGTGTATGTGAGATTTTATTTAGTTATTAAATAAATTTTTATACTGCCCATCTTCTCCATTAAGGTGTCTCTGGGCAACTGTGCAAATGTAATAAATAGGTTATGAATTTTCCTGACAATCCAGTTTCATGGTGCTTGAGGAGTGGAGCCCAGTTAGGATGAGAAGTGTACTTTCTGTTTCGATGGCAGGAACATGTGGAGTTTATAGAAACAGGTGTTTAAAAGAGTTTGCTTGCAAGTTTTAGAAACTTTGCTTTGGAAACGGATTGAGATGAAAGGGTGTGAGAAAACCCACCAGTACCAGAGAGTCTTGTGTTCTGTTCTTGAAAGTAGCTTGAGAAGATTATGGGCATTTATGTAGGTCAAGTCCTCAAGGAGGGACATAGTTTTAAGGAAAACACTCCGTACAACTGAAGTTGCCACTGGTGAGAAAGCAAGTGATTGGTCAAGTTAAAAAGCAGCTTTCTTTTTCAGCAAAAAAAAAGTCGCTGCAGGAATGCGATGAACAAAAGTGTGTATTGCTTTTTTAGTGCTTGAATTTATTTGGGTTTATAAATGGTCAAATGTTTCATTCTGTCAAAAAGATTGAAAGGGTTCCCTATGCAAAATATTCCATGTTCAATCACAGACATCTCTAAGGAAAATGCCTGTCTAAAACAGGAATGTTTTCCAAAGTATCTTTAAGTCCTGTGGCTAGGACTAACATTGCTAACATGATAATGTTAACCCCTTTATCGTGGACAACACCTTCTAAAAGAGCTCTGTGGTGACAGGTAGTCCTCGACTTACAACCGTTCATTTAGTGACCTTTTGAAGTTACAAGAACACTGGAAAAAGTGACTTATGACCGTTTTACACACCTAAGGACTGTTGGAGCATCCCCATGGTCCACGTGATCAAAATTCAAACTCTTGGCAGTTAACTTATATTTATGACTGTTGCAATCCCCTTCGCTGTCTTGCATAGCAACAGAAGTTTTGGGCTCAATTTGTAGTCCTAAATTGAAGATTGCCTGTAAAGTTAGCCCCTTTCCTAGGGGCAACATCTTCCAAAACAGTTCCATAGGTAATGAAGTGTTCAAATATATTCCTATTGTGGCATGGCAAATAACCCTTGCTTTTTCTTGGCCATTTCAGGATTGGCACAGCTGCACTGGCAATTCAGGTGGTTGGCAGCAACTGGCCGAAGCCCCATTATACGCTGCTGTTAACGGGCCTCTGCAGGTTTCAGATTTTGCAGCTGGTGAAGGAGAAACCTTATCCCGTTGCCGATGTTGAACAGTTGGATCGGCTGGAACAATTTACCAACAAGTCCGAGGAGGAGCTGGGAGAGCTGCCGGAGCAATTCTACAAATATGCAGTGCAGGTTAGGTGCCTTGAAATGGTGCTAAATATCTGAATGATCTGTTGAGGAAATTACGACAATCACTGGGTGTAAAGGAATTGAGGCAAAGTGCACGCTTTGTTGCTGATGCAATGTTAATTGTTTACTTTCCCTGTTGAAATATTCTCAGGCGTTTGGGATCAGGAGGACATGTTCTTGTAGATAAGAAGAGCACATTTTCATCCAAGCTGCAAAAAAGAGGTCAGGCCATGCCAGAGAGATTGGATCCAGTACAAATGTCCCAAAAGTGCTTTTTTAAAAAGGCAACTGAATTTGTTTATCCCTTGAAGACATTTTGCTTCTCATCCAAGAAGCTTCTCCAGTTCTGGCAGCCAGAGCATTCAAATGCTTGCTTCTCTGACTAAGAGCACAAAAAGTTTATGTCTTTATTTTTCGGATAAAATCGTTTGAGGATGAGATTCCTGTTGTCATCCTCAAAATAGCTGCTGCTTGCCCCCAGGAAGAAGAAGTTTCACCAATGTAGAATCCTGAAGATAGTTGTGTCTGAAAAGTGCTTAAATGGTATAGAAAAAGCACCCTTCAGATTTTGAGTCACATTCTTCTGTTGGGCAAATCGCTCCAAAAAAAACAACCTTGGCACAGCGGAAATATAAGAAATGGATGGGTCCTTCTTTTTCCCCGTCCTATCCAATAGTATTGGTTTATCCTGCTGAATAATACAAATGATTTCCCCCCCCTCTTAATGACACTATAATTCCTTGCATTGGGATGGAATCTGGGCAACTGAATGGAACTCAGTGTTTCCTGATGATACCAGTGATATGAATGAATACCAGTATTAAAATGTTGCTATGCATTTCTCTCTCCCACCCCCACCCCCCCCATCTTTAACCAAGCTGGTGGAGATGTTGGATATGTCCATCCCGGCGGTGGCAAAACTGAGACGCTTGTTGGACAACCTACCCAGAGAAGCTCTACCAGATATTGTCACCTCGATCATCCGTACCAGCAACCAGGAGAAGCTTCAGGTATCAAGTGCTGCTTCCTTTCTGGCTTCATAGAGGAAAAGGCCATTTTAATTTTGAATGTTTATACCCACCAAAACATTGCCAAGCTGAAACAAACCAAAGAAAAACCCTGGCTTCTTGTCAATTCCTTTAAAAGATTAACCAATGTGTTACCCAAGCATTGGTATAATAGTCCTTCACCCATGAAACACATGACAGTAAATATACCAGCAGCTGATGGATCTCATTGTTTATTTTGCTGCAAGCTATATCTCTGATCATGATTTTCACTTTATAAGTTTCGGGTGGCATTGTATATTAAGTTCTGTACTCTGACAGTGTGCTTCCCTTCTATTATTTATTTATTTATTTGATTTGTCAATTGCTTATAAGATAATAGGTATAAGTATAAACATAGTTATGAATACATGAAATGGATACATATAAGAAAAATAAAAAGAAACAATAGGACAGGGACAGTAGGCACGTTGGTGTGCTTATATACACCCCCTACAGACCTCTTAGGAAAGGGGTGAGATCAATAGTAGACAGTCTAAGGTTAAAGTTTTTGGGGTTTGGGGAAGAAACCGCAGAGTCAGGTAGAGTATTCCAGACATTGATCACTCTGTTGCTGAAGTCGTATTTCCTGCAATCGAGTTTGGTGCAGTTAACCTTGAGTTTGTATGTATTGTGTGCTCTTGTGTTGTTATGGTTGAAGCTGAAGTATTCATTGACAGGTAGGACATTGCAAAGTATGATTTTATATACTATACTTAGATCGGATCGAAGGTGGCGTAGTTCTAGGTTTTCTAGGTCTAGAATTTCAAGTCTGGTGGCATAAGGTATTCTGCAACAATTGCAGGAGTGGAGAACTCTTCTTGTGAAATATTTCTGGACTTTCTCAACTGTGTTAATATCAGATACGTAATGTATGTTCCAGACTGATGAGCTGTGTTGAAGTATTGATCTAGCAAATGTTTTGTATGCTCTAGTTAATAGTGTGATATTACCAGAGAAAAGCTATGTAGGATTAGGTTAACAACTCTTAATGCCTTTTTGGCTATGTAGTTACATAGCACTTAGATCTAGCACTTAGATCATGGTATCTTCGTCACCCAAACCCTGTAAACACTGGTGGTGTCAACCACAGCACACTTTCCCTGATGTCAGCAGTTTTTGTTTGTCTAAAAGGAAACCCAACTGGCATTTGTCTAGATCACTGTTTCTCAACCATGGCAACTTCATGCTGACTGGGGAATTCTGGGAGTTGAGGTCTACGGTTGAGTTGCAAGGTGGAGAAACATTCTGGTCCAGAATGTCTAGCAAACAATTAAGGATTCTAAGGCCCCCGTGGCCACCCTTCAGTAAGGCATCTTGGGGGCTGGGGGGTTGAATTCCAAGGACCTGGAAAAAATGCTTTCCTTGCTTTTTGGAATCTGGGGTCTTCCACAATGATGGAAGCTGTTCTTCAGCACATCTCCATGGCACCAGATTGAGATAAAATTGGAAGAGAGGAAGATGGGCCATATCAGACAGCTTCTCAAATTTGATTTCTTGTGCCTGCCTGAATTCCACTAGTATCCTTTCCCAAACCCTGCATTTTTTTTTCTCCAGTTCCACACTTGGAAACAAACCGTTCCCCTGCTATCCAGGACTGTTCAGTGTTTTCTTACATTCCTAAGGGGGAATAGTATTGTTATGTATTTGTTATTTTTCACGGTCGCCTAGCCAGCAGGCAGGAGAGATCCTTCATTCAGCAAATCTCCATGACAGGATACATCCCGCCTGCTCTTCTCCCCCCTCATGAATAATGGGAGTAGAAGCTCAAACGAGATGGATTCCAATAGCTTAGGTTGCTTTAATTTTCTCTGATCCATTTCGAATCAGGCAAGCACATTTTGTGTTGGAATCTGGGATGTTCTAAGAATCCGGGAAGAAGGCAAGGAACGCACACTTAATAATGTTTTTGTATTTTTTTCTCTTAGATCCTGGATGCTGTGGGTTTAGAAGAACGATTCAAAATGACCATCCCCTTGCTTGTTAGGCAGATTGAAGGTTTGAAGCTCCTACAGAAGACCAGAAAACGCAAGCAGGACGATGACAAACAGGTACTTTAGTAATAAAACGGTTTACTTCAAAATGTATGAATATTCCTGTGTGGGTGTAATTTATTTGGCGTAGGATAAGCATTAGCAACAGGACTGATTTAGCAATAGCGAAAAGCAATAAGGAGGCGAACTAAATTGGGGCTGTAACTCAGCGGTAAAATATTGTCATATTGTCCTTGCGAATTCAGTTCAGCCTTCTCATCTCCAGACAAGGCCAGGCAAGTCTGATTGAAAGGGAGAACTGCAAACAGGTAACAGAGACATGACCGGATGGATTATGGTCTGACTTGATATAGGAACGGGTTTCCCACTTTTAATATGGGATGTGGGGTTTAATATTCCCGTATTTCACATTCTACAGCAATCTTTTAGAGATTGTGGGCGCCTTTGATCCTAGTTACAGACCACATCTGGAATACTGCATCCAGTTTTGGTCAAAAGATGTCAAAAGTTGGGAAAAATGCAGAGAACAGCAACTGAGATGAAGAGCCTGGATACTAAAACGTATGAAGAATGGTTGCAGGAATTGGATATGGGTAGTCTAGAGAGAAGAGGGATTAGGGGTGACATGATAGCATGAGGGGCTGTCACAAAGAAGAGGGGGACAACTTATTTTCCAAAGCACCAGAAAGCACAACTAGAAATATTGGATGAAAACTAATCCAGGAGAGAAGCAACCTGGAATTAAGGAGAAACTGTCTAACAGTGAGGACAACTAACCAGTGGAACAGCTGGCCTTCAGAAGTTGTAGGTGCTTCATCACTGGAGGTTTTTAAGAAGAGAACAGGACAGCAACTTCTCTGAAAGGATATAGGGTCCCCTGCTTGGATTAGAAGACCTCCAAGGTCCCTTCCAGCTCTATTCTGATTGATTGATTGATTGATTGATTGTACTCTTCCCACCTTTCAATTTCCTAGATCGTAGCAATACGTCCTATGCGGCGGATCGGCCACATTCCAGGTGCTATGGAAGATGAGGAGGAGGACGAAGATTACGATGATATTATTATTCTTGAGAAAAAAATCCGAGCCTCTCGCATGCCCGAGCAAGCTCTCAAAGTCTGCATCAAGGAAGTTAAAAGGTCCAGTGAGTTTTCCATTACTTTTCTTGCAGATCCCCTTCTATTATGAAGCGTGTGCCATTGATCGATGGCAAGAGCATACATTTCTAGTGTAGGGGTGTTTCTTGCCTTTGGTTTTGGCAAAGATCGCCTCTCTTTATTCTGTGCACGTTTAAAAGAGTCGCTGTAATCCTGAATACCTAAAGGGTGGGCGGGGTATAATTTGGACTAATAAGAAATAAAGAGGCATCAAAGGCCAGCTGTTCTGAGAAGACACTCCCATTAAATTTGGTAAATCTTATTTCCAAATAAGCATGCTTGGGATTAGAGTCTTAGTTGCATAACGCTGCTCTTGAGATGTGGTTTTTATGTTTCACATACACTAAATAGGATTTTGTCAGTAGAAGAACTGGATAAGAGCCAGTGGTGGCGCAGTGGTTAGAATGCAGTACTGCAGGTTAACACACTGCTCACTCCAGCAGTTCGATGCTGACTGGCTCAAGGGTGACTCAGCCTTCCATCCTTCTGGGGTCGGTAAAATGAGGACTGTTGGGGGCAATGTGCTGGCTCTGTACAAACTGCTTAGAGAGGGCAGTAAAGCACCGAGAAGCGGTATATAAATCTTAAGTGCTGTTGCTATATTGAGAATTAGAAATGTTTCTGATTTATTTTACGTACAGAAGAGATCCCTTTTCGGATACATTAAAGACCTGTGCCTCTTTGGCAGCATTAAGTTCCCCCAGATTGTAAGCTTTGGCAAACATTCTGAACATTAAGACGAACCGAATACAAAACCTTATACAGGTAGTCCTCGACTTACAACGGTTTGCTTAGTGACTGTTCGAAGTTACAACGGCACTGAAAAATGACTTACGGCCATTTGACACACTGACCACCTTAGTAGCAGTCCCATGATCATGTGATCAAAATTTAGATTCTGGCAACCAGTTCATCCCTGCTGTGTCTCAAGGTCACGTGATTCCCTTTTGCGACCTTCTGACGAGCAACCATCCAGCTTCACTTCACAACGGGTTACTAACTTATCCACTGCAGTGATTTTCTTAACAACCGTGGCAAGAGAGATAATAAAAACAGGGCACAACTCCCTTGACAAATGTCTCGCTCAACCACAGAAATTTTGGAGTCCATTGTGGTTATAAGGCGAGGACTGCCTGTGTTAGTGCAAGCTAATACAGGGTCATATTTGTGTCATCAAGTATTCCGATAACCTACTTTCATTTCTTTGCAGTTTTTTTCTGTAGATTTGGATTTCAGTTCTTCAGTTAACAGGTTTGTCTACTTTTCTAGGTTAAAAAAGATGCCTCAATCCATGCCAGAATATGCCTTAACCCGGAATTATTTGGAACTGATGGTGGAATTACCTTGGAGCAAGAGTACTAAAGGTCAGTGGATATTTCCTTAGAATGAGAATCCCATTAAAAAAAAATAAAAGATTGTCAGAGTGCACACAGTTTTTGACTATGTGAGACAACCCAGGAGCAAATACAACAAACAGGTTTGTATTTAAATAGTGGCTTTATCTACAAAGAACATACACACGTTCTTTAGTCAGACCTCAAACAAGCAGCAAGCAGCAATTATAGCATGGAAGCACACAAGGAGAGCGAGATAGGCCCCCAACAGGGTCTCTTTCTTATTACAGGCTCTTAAAGTGATATCAGCCCCAAAACCTTGCTGACTCCTTCCTAGCATTACATCATCGTTACATCATTACATCATTACATCATCATAGCAGCTGGTCAGCTCTTAAAGTATTTCCTGCCAAAGATTGTAGAAGCACCCTCTATTTAAATATAGGTACTCCTCGACTTACAACCCACAATTCAGCCCCATATTTGCGAGACCGTTAAGCATGTTTTGCTCCATTTTACGACCTTCCCCCGTTGACTTTGCTTGTCAAAGGATCTCCCAAGGGGATCGCGTGACCCCCCGGGGGCACCGCAACCGTTATAAATGCACGCCAGTTGCCAAGCGTCTGAATTTCTATCACGTGACCGCGGGAGTCATGTGAAAAAGAGTCTTAAGTCACTTTTTTTCAGTGCCATCGTAACTTTGAGCAGTCCCTAAACAAACTGTTGTAAGTCGATAATTGCTACCTGCAATGATCCTCTTCTCGTTGCCGGAAGAACCATCTTAGCTCAAGGGTGTAAAAAGATTTTGTGTTTGGTTTAACAGATTGCCTGGATATCCGTGCTGCCAGGGTTCTTCTGGACAATGACCACTACGCCATGGAGAAGCTGAAGAAGAGAGTGTTGGAATACTTGGCGGTCAGGCAACTAAAGAACAATTTAAAGGGTCCCATCCTTTGCTTCGTGGGACCCCCTGGAGTTGGGAAGACAAGTGTGGGGCGATCCGTGGCAAAGACTTTGGGTCGAGAGTTCCACCGCATCTCGCTGGGTGGAGTGTGTGACCAATCTGACATCCGAGGTCACAGGTACTTTTAAGTCTATTGTTGTTGTTATTGTGGTGATTTAGAGGCTGTGTGTCATGCCCCTGGTGGAGACTGACTCCGAGGGAGAGGAGGAACAGCCGACAGGGAGTGGAAGTGTGGCTGCGAAGGTTGTGGAGGAGGCTGGGGAAGGTCTGAGGCCGGCTGGGCAGTCAGAGGAGGACCCAGGCCCATCGCCTATCCATCCTAGGGCACGCAGGGACACAAATGCAGGATCCAGGCAGAGTGCAAAACCATGCCTTGCCAATCCTTGGAAAAATTGCCCTCTATGGAATGGGGTCTTTGGAGCCCCAAAGGTTTGGGGCTGCTGATCTAGAGGGTATTGTGTGACTAAATCCATACATGGGGACATGACATAATGTAACCTCTGCATTGGTCTGCTCAGACAGCTAAAGTAAAGTAAAGGGCTGTATATACATACCCTTCCGATAAACAGATTCTACATATCCAGTCGTGCTACTGTTGAGTGTGACCCCTGGACACTTCTAAAACTCTAGTCATCTAAAGAACTGATATCCATGAATTTAATCCATGGGAGGGGATTTGAACCCCACATAGAATAGCATCTGGTTATCTATGTCCAACAGATCCCAAGTAGGACAAAACTGATCCCTGGGCAGTCATCGTAACTGTAGTGACCGTAGAAAGCTATTATTTAAAGGAAGATTATAGGGAAAGTTTAAGGAGTACATGTAGTGCCAAGGATCTAGTTGTAGCAGTGGACTTGGGGGCTGTTTAAGTGCGGGGCATTAAAAAGACCGTTCAGAATCGCCATTAGAAAGACTCAGTACATTCCCTCCGAAGGGGATGAAATACATCCATAGGAGCCTGAGATAGTTTTTAGTTTTGGCAGTTGCCATTCGGTGTTCAAATGGAACAGGATGTGGTGAATGCGGCACTGAAATTTATGTTCACGACTGCAAGTTGGAACAGGGCAAGTGTATGGCAACATATAAGGTGTTATTAGGGTGAGGTAAAGATTTGAATTGAGTGCATGGGAAAAGAAGTGCGTTTATGCAAGGAGGGAAGGCAACCTTGGCCAAGCGAAACAAGGCCTTCGCTCTTCTCCATGCATTGGGACCCCTTCTGTTCACATTGGGTGCAGCTTGACTTTGCACTGCTGATCGTAACCTGGATAAAGTCTCATAGAAACTGAAAACTGAGGGCAGAAAAAGACCTAGTTTACCCTTTGATTTCTTTCTCGTTCCTTCCTTCCTCTTTCTTTCTTTCTTTCTTTTTTCTCTCCCCCCGTCCCTTCTTCCCTTCCTTCCTCCTTCCTTTCTCTCCTTCTTTCCTTCCTTCTTTCTTTCTTTCTTTCTTTCTTTCTTTCTTTCTTTCTTTCTTTCTTTCTTTCTTTCTTTCTTTCTTCTTTCTTTCTTTCTTTCTTTCTTTCTTTTTCTTTTTTTTTTT